GAGCTGGAAGCTGAGAACTGGCGACTTTGTAGTACAACTTCAGTACGAGGAGCAATCTGTGGAGCTGGAAGCTGAGAACTGGCGACTTTGTAGTACAACTTTCGTACATTATGCCCCATATTGCGGACGTGCGACAACCGCTGGTGTTGTTGGCTAGTTGTGGCTGCGCACACCTGTGTGCACAATACCTCGTACATCCGTCGTGCACATCACTCTCTTACACCTTCTCTCCCACCCCTCTGTTGTCGGAAGCTGATATCACTTCCTGACAAGGCCGTGTTGTGGAAGCTATTGAGACTCTGACTGCTTTGTGCTTTAGAAACTTAAGATTCGTAAAGATTCATACGTGGGGCTATCCGGTCCTTTAATTGTTGCAGTGCCTCTTTGACAAATATTGTGTTCCCTTTCTTCCTCCGGAAGTGCTGGTTTCTATCGCAGACTGTCCAGTCCGCTTGTGTTTTTGTGTTACTTGTTTCTCATTTTTTTTGTATTGTGTTTGTATTTTCTTTGTATATTGTATTGTGTTTCAACCAAATCTTACAGTAACTTTTTGAGATGTTGCTTCTTAGGCAGCTCACAAGTTTAGTGAAGCAATATGAAGAAATCACTTCCCTGGTGACACATGGTGACCCACTCACTGGGCGGGAATCATTTCCGACCCCAAAAGCCAAAAGCAGAACCTCGGCGGAGTCCGCCGAGGTCCAAGCCACGTCCGGAACTTCGGCGTCCGCGTCCCGGTCGGTTTGAAAAGAGCCTTCGCCGCGCGCCAGAGCACAAGGACAAGGCCTGTGTCCATTGAGCCGCCTTCTCACAGGCAGCGAGTTGAGAATTGCACCCCAGCACCTGAGGCGGAATCCGTGGAAGCCCTCTATTTGATAAAGGTGGGGAGAGGGTAGCGGGTAGCGCATGGAGAGGAAAGATCGAAATTCCCGAAAGGATCAGCTCGGAATCGGAGGGTTGATTTTTGTGTTCGCAACTCCGGTGCAAAGTTGACGTTCTCACGGACCGCAGCGATCACTGAGGCCTCCACATGCGAGTGTTCATGATCATGCTCTAAGATCTTTTGCCAGTGGCCTGCTTTTTCACAGGCGGAGGTGGCAGCTCCGAAGGTGACACTGCTTGCGGGCAGCCTCACCAACCAGCTACAGCCAAGAGGCTGAGAGGCCAACGTCATGCGTCGCACGATCATGCTTCTAAACACATTCCGAGACTACCATCCATCAATAGCACAAGCTCAATATATGTGTCGGCCTTCTATGTCTGCCTCATACATACACCTCGACCAAACACACAAACACGAAAGGGCCGCATGGACAGATCACCCCGAACGTACCGCTGCGGCTGAGGATCTTCAGGTCCTCTACCTGGAGCAACAACTTGATCGCTTCCTGCCACGCCGGACTGGCGCACACTGAGATGGCTGCACCTGACCGACCCAGAAAGAAGCAAGATTGGAACAAGGAACAGCAGTCGGAGAGCAAATGAACTACAACGCTGAGGTGACTTTTTGAACAAATGATGTCACAGGGAGCAGGTGGCAATAGGTTGCATATGTCATGGGATCTGCTTTGACCAAACCAGCTGAGCTGCTGCTGAGCTGCTATAGGTAATGATATTGGGCTCAATGACTGTGACATCAGCTTCCCGTAGAAATTGAAGAGCGCACAGCCAGTTCCCTTGCTTGTGCAAGGAGCTCACCACGGAGTTGATCGTAATGGCCTGTGCTTCCTGAAGCAATAAAAACAAAAACATTGAGATGAACAGAAAAGCAAACATCTCGCAATCAAGTTAGGCATGCCTTTCTCTGTATGTTCAATCTGCAGGTGCAATGCCATGCAATGCCTTCTGATTCATCTGATTCCTGGTCCAAACTGAATGACACCTGGGAAAAACACATGCTACTGTTGATATGTCTTGATAAGCTTCTTGTCTGTCCAATTGAAGAGCTCTGAAAAGCCAAACGGCCGCCTGCCACCGGTTACCCTTCTGACAGGCACTGATGCTGGAGCTGTATGAAACCACATCTGCCTGCATTCGTCTGATCACAAGGACGCTCATGAGCGAAAGTGCAAGTTGCCATTGGGAAGCCTTTTCACAGGCACTGATGCTTGCATTGAATGTGATGACGTTGGTCTGAACTCTGGCGGATTCTGTCTGGCACAGAAGAGCTAACGCTGTTTGCCAATCCGCAGATTTCTCGCATGCACTGATGGCAGCATTATACATGACTACGTCAGGCCGAATAAATGTGTCTTGCGCTTGCTCCAACAAATGCACTGCTTTGAAGCTCTGCCCTGACTTTTCACAGGCACTGATAGCTGCACCATAAGTAATAACGTTAGGTTCCAAGGACTTCGAACACATTGCGCAAAAGAGCTGCATTGCTTGCTCCCATTCACTAGCCTTTTCACACGAACTCAGTGCCGATGTGTACGTGATAATGTTAAGCTGCAGCTTTCGCGCTTCAACTTCAGACAGCAGCATCAGTGAACGCTGCCACTGAGCAGCTTTCTCAAGTGCACTGATGCTTGCATTGAATGTAATCAGGCTTGGCTGCAGCTCGTGACTTTCAACAGCATCAAGAACACAAATTGCCTGCTGCCACGCGCTTGCTCTGCCACATGCACTGGTAGTAGCGTTGAAGGATATCATGTCCAGCTGGATGGTCTGTGTATGAGCTTCATCTAGCAACAGAAGCGCATGCCGCCACTCCATTGCCTTGTCACATGCGTTGATTGCAGAGTTGAAGGCAATGATGTTGGGATGCACCCGCCATCCAGGCATGTCATGCAGCAACATCAATGCTTCCATCCACTTTCCTATGCATGCACATGCACTAATTGCAGCGCCACAGGCTACAATATTCGGTCGCACTGATTTCTGCAAAGAAACATGTAGCACTTGCAACGCCTGTTGCCACTTGCGGGCCTTTTCGCAAACATTGATCGCCGCACTGTAAGCAACAACATCAGCTTGCAAAAGCGCCATTTCTAGGCCATACAGCAAGGCGATGCCTCTCTCCCATTCAGCTGACTTGCTGCAGGCGTTGATCGCAATGGTGTATGCGACGATGCTACAGGGCAAAGTGTCTGTAATGGCCATGGCATCGCTAGAGGGTCAGTTCCAACTCTAGACTTGCAATGGGCCTTAAATACACCGAAAACAAACTACAGTCTATAGTAACTATGTGTGGTACTAGATGCTACGAGTGGTAAAACGGCATCGACAGCGCGACTATGCCTCTGCTAGAAAAAGAAAGCCCTTTCACGGCACGTTGGTGCTGTCTTTATCAAGTGAAATAGGCGCCACACAGAACCACTGGTCCAGGTCCCGTAACCTAGTGAATCTGATGTAATTAGTCCAGGTATGTGCTGGGTCCGGGGTTCCCATCGGCGGATCTACCGTCTCCGTCTGTGTCGGTTGTGACCACACCGCGCAAACGGTCGAGACCGTAGCACCCACCCAACGGTGGAAAGAGGAAAAACACCGCACAAAACCGAAGAATCTGTAGAAACAAATCTGGAGATTATACATGGTTTACACATTATCCAGTATATACAGTATCTATTACCACACCCAGTCGCTCTAAGAAACCAGTGGTAAGACTACTCACAACAATCCCTTACAGCAATCTCAAATCCTGGGATAGTACTGCAGGGCGTATTCAAGAACAGCTCCAAAACAAGTCCGTTATGTAATTCAGTGATGGAGTTCTTTTTGATGCTGCTCATATGAAATGCATTCAATCCTAGCGGTTTTCTAGCGGATTTGCCAGCGCTGCCTTGCAGAATTACTGATTTTAGCTTTTAGCTGCGTACTGCCTCTTAAACAAAAGCAAAAACGATACTGCACTCCGATGTTATTTATCAACTATATAGCTAAACTAAAGTGGCTGCACACTAATTATGGCGACTGGTCATGTGTTGTCGCCAAACAATGCCAAACACTGATAAAGCTTGGAACGACAGCAAGAAGCTACTAGGTGGAGGCGGAGGCCAATTAGGGCGGAGGCCATCGTTACTAGGCTGGAGGCCATTACTACTATTAACATCTATTAACAAGAAGCTACTTGGAACAAGAAGCCACTAGGGGCTCCTGGCCTTACTACTAGGAGCAAGGACGCTACGAACGGGGCTCCTGGCATCACTAACCAGAAGCTACGTTCGTAGCCAAGGCTTCTCGTCTCCACTGGCCTCCGACCCTGCCGAACCTTCCGACCCGCGGCGCTGGTGCCAACCGACCCCGTCGGTGTTCGGCCGCAGCCTTTCTCCCGACGCGAGGACTGCTCGGATTGGCAAGCCTGAGATGGGCGGGTCGAAACGGACCCAGGGAACATGACCGACTTGCACCAGGGATCTTGTCCTATAGGGTTGTTTGGTAGGGCTAGGTCTTGCCCCACGACAATGAACTCATTTCAAAGGCGTCCCGCACCCTCTGAGTGGCCAAAAGCTGGCTGTGTTGCCCAAACTTAAAACCTGCCCGAAGGTGTAAGCTCCAACAGAAAGATTTAAACAAACAGGGTTAACATGGGGTTACTGAGTCACAGTTAATTGATTTCGCCAACCGACTTCAACTCCTTCCGGCGCATTATTTGTGAGCACCCCGCACCGAAGAAACCACATCACCGCAAAACATCGTGACCTTTGGCCCAGGGAGGACGGAAAGGATCGTGGTTTGCAGAAACCTCCCAGTTTGCATATTTTGCCGTTTGCATCCATTTGCCACTGAACAAAATCGAGGTGCCACACCGGCGGTGACGCCACACGTCAAGTCCTGTTTGACAACCCAGCATGCTTTTCTTTTAGGTATCGGTGTCCATCTAGAGCTACTGTTCAAAGGATCTCTGTCTGTGCTACGATGTGCTACAGTTAAAACCTCATCCTGTCTATCAAGCAGTCTATCAATCACCTGAAAGGCATATTCAGCTTCGCTGAGAACACCTGTGCCTGCAAAAATAGATTGATGATTGATGTCAATAAATGCACTGGTCAAGGTGCTTTTTGGCACGCTCCGATGACGGAGTTGAAAGCAATGACATGTTGAAGTTGCTCGCCACAATGCAAAAGCTCCAAAGCTTCTTGCCAACGTCCAGCCTTCTCACAAATGCTGCTTGAAGAAGTGTAGGTGAAGGAATTTGGCGACATCTGCAAGGTCCAACAGTGCCTGATGCCAGGACGAGGACAAGCGAAGGTTCCCGAACAAACAAACATGGAACACTGAGACTGTCTGTCAAACATTCTGTATCCTTAAATGCGCATGCAGCCACATATACATATTTCTGGGTCAGTGTGGGTCAGTATTTGTTTGCGCGAGTCGTGCCAAGAAATGCAGGACGCCGCTGTCACCTAAACAAAACGTAATTGCACGAAAATGCACTCGCCCTGAAGAGTATCTGACAGGTGGACAACAAAACACATATATACCTACTGGTGAGTTAGGAGTTGTGCAGCACAAGGCCTATATAACTCATGAACTGCCAACTGTTCCATGATGAGACAGGACAAATGAATACAAGCATGAAAAGGCCACAGCCATACAATGGCAGCACCATGTGGTCAGCATTTATGTGCAAAAGCTACACTAACTGCTTCCTGCCCGAGTATGCCCGAGTGGCACCTGTTTAGATACAATGCATCTGACCAGTTTGAGGTCTCCAGGGTCGCAATTGTCGCGGTCACCGTGATGACGTTTGGACGCAAGCGACACACTGGAAAAAAGGACACGAGCATCAGGGCACGCGTCCACGAGCGATCACAGGCGCTGACGGCGGCGTTGTGGGTCATTTCCTGCCTTGGAACATGCGCAGTACCAGCTGCAGCCAACAAAACACAAGCTAACTGCCATTCGCTACCCTTCTGACAGGCACTGATGCTGGAGCTGTATGAAACCACATCTGCCTGCATTCGTCTGATCACAAGGACGCTCATGAGCGAAAGTGCAAGTTGCCATTGGGAAGCCTTTTCACAGGCACTGATGCTTGCATTGAATGTGATGACGTTGGTCTGAACTCTGGCGGATTCTGTCCGGCACAGAAGAGCTAATGCTGCTTGCCAATCCGCAGATTTCTCGCATGCACTGATGGCAGCATTATACATGACTACGTCAGGCCGAATAAATGTGTCTTGCGCTTGCTCCAACAAATGCACTGCTTTGAAGCTCTGCCCTGACTTTTCACAGGCACTGATAGCTGCACCATAAGTAATAACGTTAGGTTCCAAGGACTTCGAACACATTGCGCAAAAGAGCTGCATTGCTTGCTCCCATTCACTAGCCTTTTCACACGAACTCAGTGCCGATGTGTACGTGATAATGTTAAGCTGCAGCTTTCGCGCTTCAACTTCAGACAACAGCATCAGTGAACGCTGCCACTGAGCAGCTTTCTCAAATGCACTGATGCTTGCATTGAATGTAATCAGGCTTGGCTGCAGCTCGTGACTTTCAACAGCATCAAGAACACAAATTGCCTGCTGCCACGCGCTTGCTCTGCCACATGCACTGGTAGTAGCGTTGAAGGATATCATGTCCAGCTGGATGGTCTGTGTATGAGCTTCATCTAGCAACAGAAGCGCATGCCGCCACTCCATTGCCTTGTCACATGCGTTGATTGCAGAGTTGAAGGCAATGATGTTGGGTTGCACCCGCCATCCAGGCATGTCATGCAGCAACATCAATGCTTCGATCCACTTTCCTGTGCATGCACATGCACTAATTGCAGCGCCACAGGCTACAATATTCGGTCGCACTGATTTCTGCAAAGAAACACGTAGCACTTGCAACGCCTGTTGCCACTTGCGGGCCTTTTCGCACACATTGATCGCTGCACTGTAAGCAACAACATCAGCTTGCAAAAGCGCCATTTCCAGGCCACAAAGCAAGGCAATGCCCCTTTCCCATTCAGCTGACTTGCTACATGCGCTGATTGCGATACTGTATGCAACAACACTGCCCAATTCTTCTTCCATGGTGCAACAATGCTGCACTATGCCGCAGGCGCTTGAACGGCGGCATTGGGCTCGGGCCACCAGCGGCATAGGCGAACGGAAGTATGACATCTGCACCCCTTAGAGCAACATCAACCGCAAATAGGACCGTGGACTGCCGTGGGCCCCTGACCTTTTTCATTGCAAACAACATACATCAATATCAACTGGGGGCTCCAGAGTTTGGAAAGTGGTCATTCAGAGTGGCTGCTTGGAACTGCGATTTCAGTGGTACGGTTGAAGGACGAACTCCTGCACCGCAGCCTCACATCATTCATCCACACCGAGTCCACACCCGTGTCGTGCAGGTAGGTGGTGCAGGATCGTCATGAGACACAATGAGAACCTTGTCATTCGTTTTGTAGTGCCGGATCCAATTTTAAAAAAGGGAGCCCGGGGATTGGATGTGTCATCTTCACAAAAGCGGGTGGGATTTCCTCTGCCAACAGTAGGTCATTATTGATCGTAAAACATTCACATCGAGCGGAATTTGTGCACGATTTGCACACATTTGCAAGAATATGTGTATACAGTTGCAGGCATTCCAATTCCAATGTAATGCTACGTTATATACTTTGCACCCTGTCATGTGCACGAATCGCCGAACTTGTGTGATGGCCGTGCCAAATCGGTTGCCAAATCATTTTGACGCAACTGCAGCTCTAGTCTTGTTCGGCCAGACTTCAACCTCAGGGCAGCAAGCATTTAGTCTGAAGCCTCCTGTTTCATTGGTTTTGCACGAACGAACCGCTCCGCGTTCCTGACCCCATCTTTTCGGGGGAGGCCGAAAAGGGGACCGGAATAAAGCCCAATAAACTCTGAAATTGTATAATTCCAATAAATATGTCATTCACATTGCAGAATTATTTGAAAGACACGGCCAGGGCAAATCGACACAGCCGGATAGGGGGTGGCTTCAGAAATTAAAGTATTCCAAGAGTTATTTTGAAATTGCGGGTACGTAGTACCTAAACCACTACCTTGGAAATTGTTCTAACCAACATATTCCAGTAGGCGGCATGACCCCACCCCCTATTCTTTTCATATAGAAACGCAAACAGGCAATCAGGAGATTCAGTCTTGTTGAGGCTATCACATGCATGGCAGAGTTGACCCAGGAATTCATGGAAACTGAGAATGGCGGACTACCCAAAGTTGGTTCCTTTTTCCAAGTGCTTGAGGATACTGATCTGCACACATGCACCAAACCTGGCATGCTGGAGAATCCTCTGGATCCGCACTCTTTGGGTGTTGAGTTTGGGCCTGTCCTTCAGTTAGTACACTCCGACCCGTTCACCACGGAGTCCGCGGAAACCCAACCCTCTTCGTTTGGAATCGTTATCCAAGGGATTCCGGTCGATGTTCCACTTCTGGCACTATATAGGAGGGTCAGCCAGCCCCGGAACGGCCCATCATACACGGTGCTTCAGCTTTGCCTCAGCAGCTGATCTGATAGGACCCAGCAGCTGATGTTCGGCATATTCGGGGTTGTCAAGCGAATCTTACAATCACATCCTCATACCTTTTGAGACCGGCTTTCACTTGCAACGCCATTCAAACACCAATTTGCTAAGCCCCATGCTCCAGCTTGGCTGGCCAGCGCACATCGCCCGTCGCCTCAACGGACGAAGGAAGAATGAAGTGGGCCATGGTCACCCGATTTCCCCTTTCGCCATGCGCTTCCGCTGACGCACCGCCCGATGCGGTGAGCCATGAGCCATGATGGACATACCAGCTGCACTGGTAGACGCAGCCTTACAATACTCTGGCCACAGCTGGCCACCTGATCTTGACCCCCAGCGACTGGACACATGCCGGGACTGCCGGATCGCAGTTTTTTGGGGGTCTGCTTGACACGTCCCGATATACGTCCCGATCGGAGAACCAAGGAGGTTCTCAAGCGAACAGAACCCAATGCGAACAGGGGAGCTCCAGAACTTGTGGACAAAAACATTGGTTGCGAACAATTTGGTGAACGTGTCTCGAAGGGGAGATCAATGTCAAGCGACATCTTTCTGAGCTGCATTCTCTCCCGGGAGCCATCCCACAAACCTGATACTCATTCGCACCTCTTTTGATGCCCAACAAGGGAAGGAAGCCTCTTGAAGCTTGGAGGGTTCTACATGTTCTATATCATCAGTGCTGCTAAATTGGCCTGACTTCGTCGTCCCCGAATTCATTTGGGAAGACCTGCCTTCGCCACCAGCCGGGCGAACACACGGATGGCCCGGCCAGTGTTGGCACTGGGGGTCCGGCGTAAACACATGATAAAGTCTGTTGTTCGGCGGGATCCACATGGGATTGGACAAGTGTTATTCTTTAGCTCAACAAATGAGAAAAAAGAAAGGTTTGGAAGTAAACAACTGCAGAGATCTCATTGGATGGTGATCTTTGTCGCTGGATATCATTGGATGATAGTTGAGATCTTGCACTGGAAGGAACCCGTCCGCACCTCACCAGCCTTTTGCAGCTGCCAAACCTGGCACCAGCTTTGGAATCGGCATTCAAACACCGGTCGTCCAGACTGGGGAAGACATCGGTCCAAGGAACAGCTGCCATGAATGAAGCGCTTGTGGCTGGGAATGAACCATCCTCATTCCACACACGTTGCTGGGGCTGGGAATCACTTCCTAAGCCAAAGCTCTTCTAGAAGGACCGCTTGCTCATGGGTTTCTTTCGGCACCTCGCGAAGGCACTGGCCGAAAGCGTGGCCTGGGGGCGAACGAACAGGCACACACCATGGAATACAGTGAAACGTGGTCACGTGGTCTCTTAAAATGTGAAATGCAGCCGCTTGCTTGATTTGATTGATGTCTGTGGGCATCTCACCAGGCTTGGCTGTCACCCAAGCCACCATGCCTACAAAACTTGCAACATTTCAGTAATTATATGAATCTCATTTAGTAAAAAGGGCTCTCCAATGGTTGCCGCTGGCAAACAACATCGAATGAAATCTAGCTGAACTATCACAGGTGCCACTAAGAACGCCTTCAGCAAAATTTGCTCTACGTATCCTGAGGTTGTTGCTCATGATGTTCAGTCAAGCAGTTTTCAGGGAGTTCACAGGAGGCATAATAGGGTTAGGGGGGTAGGCTTAGATGAAATCAATGAGAAAACTGTGACGGTTTGTGCTGACATCAAGAACAGTGCTCCTTTGCAACTCAGTTAAGGCTCTTCCCCAATGCTCTATTGCAATCGAATTTGTGCCCCCCCTGTCCCAAAGCAAGCCCTTAAAAGATACAGTAAACCTGAGTGAAATTGAGAGTGCCCTTTGCTGGCAACGCCCGCATTGGCGAGGTAGGATTGTGGTCTCTGGGTTTATGACGCAGCCATGCCTCCGAGACTCTATGTTGCAAAAGCCTATGCGACAGTGCGTAGTAGTTGGAGACATATCCGTGCCTTTCCCCGTGTAATGGATCAATTGCATATCTGCCACGCTGAATTTTGGGCGAGTCAATCAGCACAGCTTACAGAACCACGTGGCTACTGCCTCGCAGGTTTTCCATTTTGTTTCCAAACTTGGGTATCGAAAGAGCGTCTGGGTCTTGGACATCCCAAATAAATCTAAGTCCTCCTAGTTTTACACTGGCAGAACGTACTGACGAACGGAACGCACACACGGGCACAAACGCACGCCTCAGAAGATTTCCAACCACCGGCCCAGTGATGTCCAGAATCAAGGGGGCCGGTGCCAGGTCCCATATACCAATTGCTTGGTCCCAAGAAGAGTCTCGCCTTCCCAACCAAGGGTGCAAGTGACATCGATGAGACTTTGGGAACTCTTCTCCTGCCTTCCGCGGAGCTTTTGTTCGGTTGAAATCGAAGGGTGAAGCCTCCCTCTCGCGCCACAGTTCGAGGCCACATGGTCCGTGCTTTTGAGAACTAAGTGACAATCAACTGAACCAAAATGCCTGAAAACGCTAGGCGCCTCAGAAATCCGCTAGCCATGCACTATATGATGCAGGAAGGAACCCTTAGGCTCACATGACACATGTTTTTGCGAGTGTTCTTCAGTTCCTGACCCATGCACTCTGACAAAAATCCCACTTCTCCGCGGCAGCATTGGCGCCCATCCGAGCAAGCCCATCCGGCGCTCGAGATCCATCCCTATCGGATGAACGTCTCGTCTCCAAGTGCTGATTCAGCTGTTCCTTTCTAGACCGGATCGGCACCGGGGTCGGACACCGCCCGCCGCAAGAAAGCAGTGTCAATCTGGACGACGCATTCATCGGGGACATGTCAACGCTCTCACTTTTGCATACTCTTATACCGGGGGAATTGTACGCGATGTTGAGTGCTGCCGCACACACCTCCGTAAATGTGACCAGTTACATTGACAGTAACATGCATTGTTTGCCATGTCCACCCAAAAAGTGTCCTACTCGCACTGTTGACCTTTCCTGGATTCACAACCAATGGTTTTAAGGCTCTTGCTTCAGGTGTGGGAGGCTCTGGCCTTGCCGTTGTGCCAGGACTCCGACTTTCTTTGATTTCGATGCCTGCCGACACGTTTGATAGCGTGCCTCTTCATCACCAAAATCAGGAACATTGGTTGGTTCAGGATGTGCATCATCAGCAAGTCGCATTGATGATGTAGCTGCCAAGAAACTTGCTGGAGATTTGCCTCAGTTCCATCCTGTTTGACCCCGATGCAACAGCATTTCTTCGGTGGCACGACTCAAACAAACCAACGGGGATATCGACCACACAAAAAAGGGGGCCGCCCACCACCAGCTGAAGTTGATAACGATGTCCCGCTTCCCGACGTTGGACTGGGAGTCACATGTTGTTCATTTTGCGTGGCAGGAAGCAGTGAAGGTGCGAGCTGTCCTGTTTTCGATGTGAAGGTTGCATAAAATTGCTTTCATTTTCCTGTACTGCATCGCCCGTCCAGGACCTTCGCTGACGCTGTGACACTCTTGTGCGCCAATTAACTTCATGGAGAAACGCTAATGCCAGGCAAGCATGAGAGAGGGACCAAAAGCCACAGGTGTGGGTGCGCGGTTCCTCGCTGGGCCGTATTTGGGGCTTAATCTTTAATTATATTATATCATATTCACTTGAGGAACTTGCAGCACTGTTGTTGCTTGACTTGAAGGTGGTAGACGCACTCTCAACACCTGGCAGCAGTGCGGTCTCGAGGTTGGTGGCGCTGAATTTGTTTTTGCGGTTCTCGAAAGTTCGACTGTGGAGCCGTGTCGCCATCGGATTCAGGGCGTGAGTGGATCCGAATACTGTATTTCAATGTGGACACGCATGATGCCTGACTGAAAAGATCAAGCTTGAGCAGTTCCACAACAACAAAGAAAAAACACAAACAACTTTTAGAGTCTTGTAAAAACAAGGGTTCCCCCCCAGAACTTCCACTCAATGTATCACATGTATCACAGCTCGAGTGACGGATGCGATGCACTGCCCAACTGAGAGCTGAACAAACATCGTCCGGCCCCTGACGCGTCGTCGTCGTCGTCGTCGAAATGGGTGGCCAAAATGAGCAACAGCAAAACGTTTGAAACTGCACATGTGGCTGTGGGTCAAAACCCGGAGTCCGGTTGACCCTGATCCTTAGTCGTTCTTAGTCTTAGTAGTGCGTGTTCATTTTTCTTGGTCAACTAGGGTCCCGTGCGCGTTTGTTGCTCTGTCTGTCTCTGTCTCTGTGTCCCTGTGTCCCTGTGTCCCTGTCTGTCTGTCTGTCTGTCGGTCGGTCGGTCGGTCTGTCGGTCGGTCGGTCGGTCGGTCGGTCGGTCGGCCGGTCGGTCTGTCTGTCTGTCTGTCTGTCTGTCTGTCTGTCTGTCTGTCTGTCTGTCTCTCTCTCTCTCTCTCTCTCCCCCTCCCCCTCTCTATGTTTGCTTGTGCACTGTCAGGTTCTTGTTTTCTGCTTTTCATTGTTCACATTTGATCGTATTTCTTTCTTGTATGGGATCTGTGTTGTCTTTGTTTTCGGCAGCCAGTATATACGAGTATGAGAAGAATCTAGGCAAAACCAAAAGAAGCAAGAGAGAAAGTGAGTGAGCGAGAGCGAGAGAGTGTGAGCGCGAGAGAGTTGCGGGTGGCAGGCGCCCGGGACCTACTGGGTGAAGGTGAAGGAAGGAGCTAGCGAAGGGGAGTATCTATATAAAGGGGAAAAGTGGTACATGCACACAGCCCGAACATGCCAAACTGCAAAACGGCCAGAATTTCACCAAAGAGGTTGAAGAATATTGAAGAACACATTGCAAGCTGCAATCCACAATTTCCATTTTGTGTGACCTGGGTCTAATTCTGAGAGAACACTGATCCCCACTTTCACACGCTCGACCAAGGGCTGTCGAAACACGAGCATCATAGGGCCACAAGGAGCATCCGCCATCACCAAACACCAGCCGTACCAGAATGACTGCCACCTCCTGATCTCTCGATTTCTGCTCCCAGGCCGCTCGCAGAAGACCGGTCCGAGCATCGCGGATCGAGCGCATCGCAGCGTGCCGATTTTTCCGCGCGCGTCCGGTGCCCGGTCGTTGCGAGGCTCCTGGCGCGTTGAGGTCGTGGCGACCCGTGGGAGAAGGGAGAACTGAGGGACTAGTCTCGTATGGTCTCTATGGGCAGAAAAAAAAAGAGTGGGAAGCCCAACAGATCGGAAAATGCTGAGCATGGTTGGCATGATATCATGTCAAAGCAAGGTGAAGGAGAAAGCATCAGCTTCATGAATCAACCCTCCGTATCATGTGGCTGGTTTATCCGAACCGCATTGCACTAGAATTGCAAACGATTATCACCTCTACCCACATCTGACATCCTCTTGGGTGTGCCAGAGGATAGCGGATGCTCCTCAGACAAGGCTGCTCGCTGTCCTTGAAGAGAGTCCACCAACACTGCCTGCAACCAGGCTGTGTACGCTTCAGCTCGAGTGGGTTCCAATTCAGTTGACCCTCAGACACCACGCCGTTTCGGCCGCTGAGATTTTTGCAGGCCTGGCAAGGCAGGCGTTGATCACAGGCCCATGTGAAAGCAAGCGCTGTTGTCTTGATTCAAGGCGCACAAGGACACAACAAACCAAAACACATCAACAAACATTGCATTTTGTCAACAAGATCACTGATGAACATCTACACCCCCTGACAAAAAAAACAGGGAGATCATGTGTCCTGGTGTGCTCGTGGGCCAAAGAGGTCTAAGACCAAAGGGCTCTAAGAGAACCCAAGCGGAGAGTGCACCTCAAGATGTTCTTGAGTTCTGCACATGTGCCGCGTGTCTAGGTTCTCACTCTGTTCCTTCGCTGTGCCGAAGCATTTCATACCCTGTGATGAATTCCAGGTGTTCCACTAACTATTGGGTCCACCACCTCATGTGTGCTGTTCGTTTTTTTGCAATTGACATTGGAACATCATGAAAACCTGCTCTTGGGTGTCCAAGATCTTTCTGCGCCAAATTCCACCAGACCCAACGTGCGTCACTGGGCACCGGCGACCGCCGCTCACGGCGTCGGCTCCGCGTCAGCGACGGCCTGACGCGCGGGGAAGCTGGGGAGGTGCCAGGTGGACGAATGCGTCGTGTGCTGCGCGGCATGCGTGAACGCCGGTGGGTTGCGCGGTGGGCACTAAGGAGGGAAGAAGCATGGGATTTGAACCACTGGGTGCTTCCGAATGAATAATGTAGCACAAACATGGTCGTGACGCTCAGCTTGATCACACAGAGGTAAAGAGTCAATAGACAAGAACTAAACTCCAGTCCAGGGAGTCCAATATATTTTGGGTCTATCCTATTACGTGTAACAGTGGATTTTTT